GGGTAACTTTCAGGTGATCAGTTTTATGTTAGTTTAGTTCGTTTAGTTCCAAAATCATAAAAACGCATACTATCAAAAAAAATAGTTGTATATATATATATATATATATATATATATATATATATATATATATATATAAATAAATCTTTACTATCATAACAAGAAATATTTAATTATGGAGAGTAAAAATTATGAACATGTAATTCAACTTAGCTAACTTAATATAAATTTCTAAAGAATCTCATTTTACTGATTGCAATTTTTTTTACGTTTTTTTGTTTAAATCTCATACATATCTTGCTCGTATTGTTGACTTTATGAAAATATACATATAAAAGCACTCTTAGCATAGTACAGAATAAAGAAATATAAAAATACACTCTTTACAGTTTTTTCTAATAGCTAATATCTGAAATAATTCGGAACTTTTTCAGACTATTTATTAAAAATTATTGAAACCAAGTACTTAGTATATTTTTAAATGACTTAGACAATATTTCAACCCAGCTTTCAACTTTGATAAATTTACATAATATGGAACATACTGTTTATACTCTGTTTTAAGTCAGTGGTGGCTCAGTGGTTAGAGGGCCCGCCTCTCGTCACCGAGGGCGCGGGTTCGATCCTGGCCCGGGCAAGTACCAATGTGATTTTTCCGAATCATATGTACTTTCTAAGAGTATTTAGACATCACTGATTAATATTGATTCCCAAAAAAGAGGGTTGATGTCAGGCAGGCGGCCGGTCGTAAAAACAAATAGCCAAAAACTATTCACAACATGAAAGGCAGACCCTGGCTATAGCTGGGAAATTGCCAGGTAGAAGAAGAAGAAGAAGGAACATACTGTTTTTACCTTGTTTTGTTTACAAGAAAATTGATTTAGGCTGTTGATTGGAGATGAAGGCATATGTATGTAGGATATATGTATATATCCTATGTATGTATTTATGTATATATATAATGTAGGATATATGTATATTTATCGTATACGCCAAACACTAACTGAACAATGAGACTAGTTAGTATGAATCTATAGTGCTAAGTTATTTTAGTTTTAAATGTTGCGATTTAATTATTACTAACAACTTTATTTTCACAAACAGATACGAGTAAAGTCATCGTCTAAAAGAAAAAAATATGAATTCCTTTTACTATGTAAAACTTGTTAGCGTTTTATGATGTAGTAATTGGTACAAAAAATATCCCTTAAATGATTCAATTCTTTTGCATTATTAGAAATAATGATGAGTGTTTTTATGTTATATTGAAAAAATATGTTCTTATATAAATGAATAATATGAAATATCTTATAAATTCTTTTTTTAGTAGCACTTATATCAAAACTTTGAGATTTCAATAATTTTTTTTTAGAATTGTTTCAACCTCAGATTTTATTTTTTTATTCATTTATGTAATACCTTACTTATTTTAATTTATCATTATGTTATTTATAACAAAAGTATATACATTTTTAAGTAATTGTTATATCTTATGAAAAGTATGTTTAATATACATAAAAGAGCTGCTTAAAATATGAAGGTGAAGCTAAATTTATATCTTTTGATATCAGTTTGTCAATTAAGCTTCATCATTTGTTATGAACAGAATAAGATGCAAACTAGTGACAGTAGGTATGATCATTTACATCTGACATCCTTGAATCTGCTTCACTAACTAGGAAAAACTTGGTGACAAATCAAAAATGATTATTTTCCACACAGAGTCGTCAGTAAACTTACATAGAAACAAATAAATAATCAGCTAATCTGACAGCCGATCAGCTAACGTAGAATATTCGTCTCTTTCAAAGAGAGCCACAGGGGCTTACTAGTCTCTAGGTGATGATTGGCGAGAAGGAAAACTGATGTTATTTAGATGCATTATAAGCGAAAAGAAATACAACCGCTGTGAAGACTACTTGTTTTTTAATTTAAAAAATTAATTCGTATTTACTGTAGAAAACAAATGTTTTGTTTTAAGAGATATGGGACTATAAATAATATAGTCGTATATAATATAAGGGCAGTCAGAAAGCCAGGTCATTTGAATAATCAGACTTTAAATCCATATCGCTGTTTCGACAGATTTTTGCTCAATACTTTGATAGAAAGTTTCGGTTTGTCACTCATGTACAATTTTAGTGGTTAAAATCAACAACTTACAAGAGAATTATTTCGTTGAATGTTTTTATTAGAATTATTTTTTGTTATTATATATCTCTTCATGAAATAGAAAATATTAATATTAGACAAAATTTACATCGTTAAATCAAAAGCAGCATTTCTAAGACAGAATTTGATTATTATTATTAATACAGCATAAATCTCATACTGTTATATGTATGAGTAAAATATAAGAAAATTTAATTTTGTTATTTTATTTATGGCTTATAACCATAAATCTGAATTTTGGTTTTGATCGTCAACTATGTCTGTACAACAAGTAAATCTCAGAAACACCATATAGGAATCCAGTTTTGATATTGCGACGAAATTCGGAGAAGCGGTCATATTCGCGTAAACAAAACATGAACTAGATTTCCATATTTTCGAGTCTCTCAAGTTTTTTAATTAAGTGCTCGGTCAAATAGAAACAACTTATATCAGAGTAAACAAGAATTGGAAGCAAGAGAGAATATTCTCACAGATTTCTGTTTGAATTCCCATCGCTCGTAATTATAGTTTTCTAGGAAACCCAATAGGAATTGCTATAGATCGGATTTTTTTTGAAATGACATTTAATACGAATGATACTAAAAAAATAGTAGGGATGAGATATAATATGTATATATTCAAATGAATATAAATATACATTTGAATATTTTAGTAGTACCACTATTGTTTATATTGTTTATTTAAGTGTTTTAATGACATGGCAAGTGCAGTTTATAATGTTAATTGCAATTTGAAGTCTCGCCACACTAGGAAGAGCTAATGTTATACTAGTAGTATCGATTTCCCTTATAGTAGAGAATTAGGGTTAGTGAGACTTGACATATTATATCAAACAAAAATATGTAGACACAAGTTAAAAATTAATTTACCACATTTATGTTTGATGAATGAAAAACAATTAACAGTTCTTTCTATCAGTTAAAGACGAAATAATATATGTAAAATTATTAATTGATGTTTGTATACGTATTTTTCCAGTAAATAGTTATGGTTTTCACTCATACTCAATATTTTTCTTGATTATTGTATAGTAAGGTTATAAGCAAGTCAAATAACTGTACCTTTGTAATAAACATATATTTTAATTATTATGAACAATGATATAATTTTGAAATCATTATGTTAGAATTGAAAGTAAATACACCACAGTCAACCCTACTCGTAATTCTCACGGCAATACTGATCGGTATTCATTATTCAGATTCATTGCTCCCAATATACTTCAGCAATAAATTGCAGACCTTCTTAATTCATTTCAAATAGTTATATCTTTCTTTTAAAGATTGTCTGAACTTGAATTATTACGCTTAAAGTATACTCATTACCATTAGAGCTTACAGAATACCTACTGCTGAATATTTAGTTAAGTGAGAAACAAAGATACTTTATGAAAATATTTTTTCGTAAACCGGTTTGAATGATATATATGAAAATTGCCATTTTAATAGTTCTATACATCAACGATGATGACATGAGAGTGTAATATATTTTATATAATATAGTATTATATACTATATAGGTTGCTTTGTATTCATGTGTTGACATTTATATCTTTATTACTTTTGTGACGCTAGGATGCATAACGAACATAAAAGCGACAACCATACAAATCCATTTTATAATCGTATCGTAATATCATTCTATTAGATTACATATTTAAATAAGGGTAAGAAGCAGAGATTAAAAAAGCACATTTTAATCTTTAACAGAAGACACAATTATTGAAAAACATACTTGAAGTTTCTCAATGACACTAAAGAAACTTTTGTCTCTGTGACACAAACTTTCTGAAGGATGGCGCACTTTGAGATGTAATAGTAATGGGTTTCATTGAGAGTAAAAGGTTTTAATATTGATAATAACAAGTAGCAATTTCATTACAATCAATTAGTTCTCTATAAATCTTTAAAAATAAATTTTATTTCTACTTCAGATCTGCGTAAAGAACTTCCCAGAATTATTAGGGTTTTGATTAAACATTAAAATCTTTTAACTACAATCCAAGGACATGTTTTTTTCAATATATTTAGAAATACTTTAATTAAATAATAATCAGAGAATTAAGTTTGTGGAACATTATTTTAATTCCTTTTCATTTAAATTTTTACTTAATTTTCTACCCGTCTAGCATTTTGCTTGCATATGTACTAATACTAGGGACAAACTTGTAACTAAACATTTTTAGGGCGCTGCTTACTTACTTTATGATGCTTACTATCATTAATGAAACATGAAAACACATGCATATTACACAAAATAGCGGAGTTAAGGCTCACATTGACATGGAACTTATAACCAGATCAGAACTGAAAATAAATTGCTTTTGGTGATGGTTTTCAGTTTCAATGTACATAATATATTTAATACATTTTCTCAGTGATGCACAAATTATTCGTACTATAATATATACTCGCGTGATAAAGTTTACATATTAGGAGATAGTTCCCTGTCATGAATATTCCATGTCCGTTGATATTTATTGGGTCTGGGTTTACCTCTTGATTTAGATTTATATGCTGTTTGAGTAACATTCGTTGATATCCTTGTTTTAGTTGAATGTCAGCAAGTAGGTAGTGTGTGAGTGTGAGAATTCTTAAACATTTTTATTTAAGACATATTTATTTATGAAGGTAGGACATTAACATAAGTAGAGTATATTATATTAGTAATCAAAATTTTGTTTATGATTGAAACTTTTCAATATAACCAATAATAATATTGTAGAATCAAAACTTTGATATTGAATTCTGAAAGTTAAATATCAGAAAAAACATTGTTACTAAAAGTGTAAGATATATATATATGTGTTTTTATTCATATAGCTATTATTGCTTATATTCAGATTTGATTAGATCCGATATATATTCTGCTATTGTGACTGTTGGTATATTTATATTGCCTCTAGGTATAAACGGCATTACAGATGCATCAACAACTCTTAACCGTTTGACACCGTACACCCGTAATCTAGGATCGACAACTGCGTCTTTATCCGATGAAGGACCCATTTTACAAGTTCCAACAGGATGATAAATAGTAGCAGTATACTCAGTAAGTAAACATACAAAATAATCATTGGATCCCCATTCATGATTCTCACAGTTTTTTATAGGAACTCTTACAAAACGCGCTCCATATTTTTTAAATGCTTCAGTTTCTTCTAAACTAACAGCAAACTTAAAACCCTCTATAAGAACATCTATATCTTCCTTCTCAGTAAAAAAACGCTGATAAATTAGAGGGTTCCCGTGAACAGGGTCGTTATTATTAAGCAAAATGATACCTCTACTGCATGGTTTTATTAAAAGAGGTTTACAGAAAAGTCCATCATAAAAAGAAGCAGTAAAACTGTCACTCATTAAATAAGCCTGCGGATCAGAATAAAACTCTGCAACATTATTAATACCTTCAAAAATAAATTGTATATCTGGTGCACTTTCACGAGAGTACTTAGTTTTTATAAACGCAGTAGTACCGGCAACATTTGTTGTCGCCAATGGTCCATACTTTTTCGGTTCCTGGTCATGGTACCGTTGCACCTCTTCTAACAATTGCTCAGAGCTAACGTTGGTGGCAGTTTTATTCGACAGAGAAATAATAAAACCGTTTGTAGTAACGTGGTCTTGTAAGTTATGACCGACAGATAAGTCAGCAAGAACAGATATATTCAAACTCTCCAAATGCACTCTAGGCCCAATACCAGATACCATCAATAATTTCGGGGAATTAACAGTTCCACCACTAGATATCACTTCCTTTTTAGCATAAACATTGTAAGATTTGCCATCTTTCTCATAGGTAACACCTAAGGTCGTTTTTGTTTCATGGTCTATAATTAATTTGGTCACAAAAGCGTTTGTTATAATATCAAGATTCTTTCTTACATCACGAATGGGTTTGATGTAAGCCACATTTTCTGAAACCCTTCTTCCATCTTTAGAAGTTGATAAACCTATATTGACACCAATATTACCTTCTGCAGTTAAATCTATTTCTGGGATATGCAATTCTTTAAATGATTCGAGAATCATAAAATTATTAATATCGTAATAAGGATATCTCTCTACAGTTATAGGTCCACCTGTTCCGTGATGATACGTATCAAATGCTTCAACAGTTTTATTATTTTCAGATTTTCTAAAGTAAGGCAAGAGCTGAAACAAAACGTTGTAATATATATTTTGTTTACAAAGATAAGAATCTTAGTCATGAACATTAGTACCTTATCATAGCCCCATCCGTAGTTGCCTATTTCCTCCCAATGGTCATAATCACGTCTATTACCTCTCATATACAAAAGGGTATTTATAGCGCTCGAACCTCCTATGGTTTTGCCACTGTTGTCAACGTAAATTTTAAGTCTTAGACTTGGGTCAAATTGACAGTTATTAAATTTTTTATGTAATTGTTAATGTTTTACCGAGTAAAATCACACGTATGTCCTTTCATGGATCTGCAACTCATTTCTTCCGGCTGTGTGCTATAGTTCCAATCTAACGAAGATCCTTTTAATGCTTTGTATAATGATGGTATAGGGTGCGCCAGAGAAACTTACTTATTTGAAAAAATTCCCGCGCGGTGAGTTGGGCGGGGAGAGGGGCAAGAGGGGGCGCATCTGGAGGGGGAAGTTCCCAAGTTTGTTTCTCCCTCCAGTCAGCTGCCATCATGCTCTGGTCTAGAGAGCAGCGAGCCTTCGCAGTTGAGAGCTTCTTTTGTAACGGTCGCTCGCTCTCGCGCTCGCTTTGAAATTCCTCCTAACAGACTCATTCCTCGCCGTAATTCGATTCTGTCGTGGGTTAACTCATTTCGGGAGTGTGGAAGTGTCGCTAAACCCAGAAATGGACTTACACGGACCATCAGAACTCCGGAAAATATCGAAAGAGTGAGGCAATCAGTTGTGCGTTCTCCCCGGCGTTCGGCTCGCAAACACGCAGCTGCTATGGGAATTTCTGATACCACTGTTCGACGAATTCTCCATGAAGACCTTCAATTTCATCCCTATAAATTAGCTGTTGTGCAAGAATTAACAGAACGCGATTTTGTTGCCCGTCAAAATGCATGTGAAATGCTGATTGACAACCTGTCTGAAGAAGCGGTCGTTTTTTTCAGTGACGAGGCTCACTTCCACATTTCCCTGGTTTATGTCGAGCGACCACGGACCATAGCACACCTCAAGAACAACATTCGCGACGCCATTGCCTACATACCGATTGATATGCTGCGAAGAGTGGATACGAATTTCAAAAATCGACTTCATCAGTGTATGCGCAATGGGGGTCACCATTTATCCGATGTCATTTTTAAGACTGCATGAAAAAAAAATTGGGATATTGTATTCTTAAATAAAAAAAAATTTAAAACAATAACTGAAGTACTTTTTTTTTAAATGACCTTTTAAATAAGTAAGTTTCTCTGGCGCACCCTGTACCATTGTTATATCTGGTTCCTCAGATACAGCTTCTATCAAGAGTATCTTTCAAAAGGAATTACAAGTACATTTTTTTTAAACTATTCACATTGTAAAAAAATCATAATTATAATGGCGTGTTTTCACACGCTCGTTACTTGAAAACACTAAAACTTGGTTAACACATTCGAATAAAATTTATATTGGATTTACAATTAATAAGCTTTTATAACTGGTAAAATGGAGTATCTCGAAAGTAAATCTCAAGCACGCAAAATACAATTACGTTTATAATCTTTCAATATCCTTTACTATTTAGAGTTATTCACATATATAAATTGTGAAGAACGCTGTAGTCACAAAAAAATTAAAAAAGATAAAACATCATCCAAATAGAGCCTATTTCATTCAGTGTTTTTCTAAAATTTAAATTTAAATTAAATTTTTACCCGCCATTGTTCTTCTTCTGATAATCTGTTTGCTAACACACAACCAGCTGATCCAGCTCCAACAATAATGAAATCATATTCATGGCTTTCTTTTGTCTCATCTTTATCTTTTCCGCTACTAAATTTATTCTCCTTATTTTCCTTTGACCGTTCAGTATCCTCATTAACAGTATAATTCACTCCACCGAAAAGACGAACTAGCAGTGCCAGATACATAAACCCGTCTGGAGAACATTGTGTTAAGTTTGATTGCGTTTCTGAGCAAATTTTACTTATGTCCCGTGGTTGCCATATTGTGGACATGTTCGAAGTAATTAGGAAAAAAATGTATAATCACTTAATTTATACTATTTCACTATCCTTAATTTATCAGAAAATTAAAAGAAGGTGAAACATAAATATGGTAATTACTGTTGTCTTATTAATGTCTGTTAATAAACCTTGAAATAAAATTTGTTATCACTAACCTACTTGCTCTAGTTTGGTATTATATACGACGTCCTCATCTTACGTATGTTTTTAACTATCTGAACACTATCACTTTTCACGTCTTTCATAAAACTTACTTGTCTTACGGTAACTTACTAATATCAAAATATAACTGTTGGTGTTAAAATGTTGTAGGGAACTTGTACTTATGTTCATTTCACGTATGGTTTGCTTTTCGATCGCAACCTCGTACACCACCTGCATTACGAAAGAAATATAAAATTAACAAATTGTACTGTAATTTTTAATGAACGATAATATTATTCTAACTTATATGAATGAATGAATGGTGTGGATTATTTTGAACCTTTAAAGTTAAAATATGATTTACAATTTATTTAACAACTTTTGTTAAGACAACTATTTTTACTTCAATATTAAATTTTCTTTATGATTTGAAAATTTAAAATTAATGTTGTATAATATTCTAATAAACAAAAGTTATTTATGAGATGCTGCACAAATATCTTAAGACTACATAAATTTTATCACATAGTATTAGAAAGAGAGTAGTAACTATACAGTCCTATTTCTGAGTTCGATTGTTATTTTTGTCCCTGTATTAATATTAGGGTCAGATTTATGAACCATAAGTCTTATATTATATCAAAGTTAGTTCTTAAACTATATTCACAGGCTATAAGTATGGAAAACAATGAATCGTATAAATGAGAAAATATTGTTCTGAAGAATATAATTTACTATTAATTATTACTTAATAAAAATAAACACGGATAGAGCTTACATAATAATTTATATTCACATCTAGTAAAGGAAAATATAATAATTAAAAATTAATAGTAACATTTTCGTGGAAAGTGAACGATGAAGTAATGTAATAATAAAAGTTAGATAATGTTAGTGCTAGTAAAATTTACATCGGTAATATTTTAAACAAAAGGGATCATGGATTTAAAAAAGTTATAAAATTTGAAAATGAAAAATATATAATATTTGTATAAAATCTATTAAGAGAAAAATATTCAATGTTTACATAAGGTAACCTATATTGAAGAATACATCATTCTATTGAGATCAAGTTTGAAAATGGCAGTATATTTTTTTAAGATGAAATGATAAAAAAGTGTGTGTATGCTTATGTACACGCGTTAGAAGTCATACTTCTTTGGCGTATAGAAAACAAATCATAACAAATACGAGATTGTAGATAGTATAAACATTCAGAATTTAAGGTTAATATAAACAAGTACCAGTAAATAATTCTTTTTTTATTTATATTAAAAATTTATTAATATATTCAAATCTATAAATGCACTCAAAACAGTTTTACCACTGATATTCAATGTATATATATATATACTCATAAATTATTAGGAAATACTATTACCATCGTATGTGAAATTCATTTAATAAAACACCAAAATAATATTTATTTATTATGATCAAGAATTTTTCAATATATTAACATTTCTTCCGACTTACAATTCGCTTAGAAACCTGGAATGTTGGATTATTTTATCATCAAATAGTTTACAATTATGAAAAACCAAAAGTAAACATATTATAATTAAACAAGGGGCAAATATTACGGGTTATGTTTGATATCATTTTTATGTCACAGATAGTGTCTGCAACTCTTTTATCTACTAACACTAGCTATTATTAACTCTGGAACACAAACACCAAATATTATATAAAAAATACATGTTTATATTCCACTTGAGGAACTCAAATTTGTACCCTAATTTTACATTGACTGAAATGAAGAATAAATCGATTCACTGACTAAAAATACTTTTTTAATAGAATATTTAATTTCTACCAACTCAATTGAGAAATATTGATACAAAAATTTTGTACTCTCACACTATCAAAGTAATTGCTTTTGAAAAATCTCGTTGTAACTTCAAAACGATGAGCCCCTTACATGATTACTTTTAATGCTTATTAGACAATTATCTGTAAGGAAAAAAAATGACTACAAAAATAGAGAAGAATTTGTTTGTCTTATTGAAAAGGTATCTTTAAAATATCAAAAGCCAAATATTTACTAGGAGGATTACTATATACTATACTATATATTCTTTATGTCGGTTTTCGAAACTGGAGTCGTATCTACTTGTGCTTAGGATTTATTTAATGATAAGATATTTTAAATACTAATTGTTTTGATAAAATGTTGACCAACAATAACATCATGTTTAAGAAATAATTATTAAAATATAAGTATTGAAACAACTCATCGAGTTACAGCTTCATGAAAGTATAAACGGTTGGCGTTTAAAATAGGGCTGAAATTTTATGATTCAAAACGAGAAAGATGCATATAGTAATATTCGTTACTATATATTTGATCAAATTATTTTAAATGATTTTACTGATTTTTCTGCGCTTACATGATACTTTACTTTGACACTATATAAATAAAAATAATAAAACCGACAGCCCTGCTTCAATTGTATTTATTATTCACTTTCTTTGACTCCCGAACTACTTGAGTACAAATCGAAAGAGCCTCTCATTTCCATTATACTTCTCATGTTTCATAGCAGAGTTGAAATATTATCAAGCCCGACAAAGTTTTCTCTCGAAGTATTTGATAGATGACAAATAAGTTGACCTTAAACATCCTTTTTTGCTATAAATATAACAGTTATTGCTTACGAATAATTTTGTGTCTGGGTCTTCTACTAAAATCATCACTGAAAAATCAGATTGAAAGTCTATTCACGTGATACTACAAATTATATGAACTTTAAGACTTTGTTAAAGTTCGTTAAAGTTGATTGGACGTTACATACTTGACTAACAAGATATTGAAATTTAACAAAATAATTTATTTAGTTCTATCGTATGTAAACATAAAAACTACCTTTTTTCTATTGGTGCAAAAGTGAAGAAATTATTTTATATTTTAAACTAAGGCAAAAAAAGCAATGTTGAGTTGTGCAGTTCAAAAATTAAATAGATTATTTAAACTAAAACAGAAACAGTATAACATTGTAGCGGAAACCTATAAATTATTGAAAATAAAAATATTTTACTAAAAATTATAAATAAAGTATAAATAGCGTAAGTGTAAGAAAGTACATACTTAATAAAATAAATATATCAAATAATAATTAATATTAAACTCTGATATTTTTTCAGATATTTTACAAAGAAGTCAAAAATAAAAATATACTTAATACCCGTACACACACGGTACTACACTTCACATGTGATAATTAGACATGTGACGTAGTGGAAACTCTTTTTACGAGCCGTCCAACCGGCCTTGGTGGGGCCGGAAGGGATGTGTGAGGCTCGGCTTGGGCAGGCCCCTACTCACTAAAACCACTGCGAAAGCCATCGGCCGCTATGTTGGTGTACCCCGGATCTGTCAGCGACAGGGCACACCAGCGACTGGCCGGTCCTGGCAAAGACCGGACTTACTCCCTCAGAGCATGGGGGCGATCCCGGCAATTAGGACCACCCCGACGACGCCGAGCTTTCAAAAGGACCGGGTTACCACGCCGACCCCAGCCCGGAACACAGGGGTGCTATTGGAGGCGTAGGAATTGCCTCCGTCGCACCCCCGTACGTCGCCTGCGGGGGGAGGGAGCATCAGCCGCCCTCTCCCTTTCCCGCTGAGATGCCTCCTTCGTGGACATGACCGTCTCACAGAAGGAGGACACCGCCAACCAGGACCCATCACTCTCGAGCATCTTCTCCACGACACTCGAAAGCGACAAGTCCACTCCGCCGAGAGCCGCCACAAGGTCTTGGCGCTGCGCAGTCCATCTCGGGCACACCTCGAGGGTGTGCTGGGCCGAGTCCACCGCAGCGCCGCACTCATGGCAGCCTTCTCCCGGCTCTCTCCTGGCCGTCCGACACAGGTAGTAACCAAAGCACCCGTGCCCGGTTAAGACCTGCGTCAGACGGAAAGTGAGGGGTTTGCGTGTCCGCCTCATCCAACGCTCTAGGACCGGGCGAAGCGCACTTGTAGTTTCTCATCGTTATTACAGAAATAATATTGTTATATTCGATATATGATTTTCATCAAATTAACACTACCTTTGTAAAGGCATTGTTGTCAATATATTTTAAGAAGCTTTAATTTATTTCATACCGTATTGAGGTCTCTTTCACTTTGATCATAGTGCAGTGATAGAATAAGTTAAATACCAATTTATACATTAAAATATGTTTATCCCAATAACCTAGAATATTTTTAATTAAAACTCGACCTTCTCAAGAAGGAATGACATTGAAGTTATAACGATATCATTTATTTGTCACAATGGTCGATTTCTGTAATTAAAGTATGTAGATAGTGTAAATATTTTATTTCATATATACTTTTAATATATTTTCAGAACAAAATTGAATTCTACCTGATCTGTGGGTATTTTCCATAAAAATATTTTTACGGATCTTCGAGAGTGTTGATTATACATATGTATATGTATTGAAATTCAAAATTGTTCGAAATATGCTAATAAAATTTTACTGATTAAATTAATCTTTTAATGTACGTTAGCTAACGGCTTTTTTAGCGTAAATAACTCATTATTTTTTGGTATAGACATTGCAGCTATAAAGTCTCTAACTGTAATTGTTAAATTAAGTATACATCAAACTAATCATTACAATTAGAAAAATCAATTTCTGCATATTTTAAAGTTCTTTCGCTTATTTTCACAATGACACCATGCCTTAATATTGTTTTGGATGTTAAAATATTCCATACACTTTCTTATTTCCTAGTGATATTGCTTCCATTGATTTCAAAGAAAATATATAAAGATAAACAATATATGTATGTCATACTGAGATTATACTTCAAACTACTACTACTTCTAAGATGGCTAGAATCTCACCTGAAAGACCGATTGCAACAAATCGTAGTAAATGGCTTTATTTCACAAACATTTCTTGCCTATTTGATCGTACGACATGGTTTCCACCACAACCCTTTATATATTCCTTTTCTTCATAAACAACCTCCCAGATTATATTAATCAGTGTGAGTGTTTGTTTTTATGTCGATTATTTAAAACTGTATAAACTAAAAGAAAAGGTAGTGATTCAACTGTGCGTCAACGTGGCTCAAATGTTGTATAAATATGGTGCGATAATAATAAAATCGTACTAAATATCGGTAAATGTCGGCATATAAAATTAAATTTATGAGTATTTTAATTGTTATTGTCTTATTTTAATGTCCTTGGATTATATAACTTTGTTTTGATTAT